GAAATCCGCTCTAATCGGTATTACGTGCAAAACTATGCACAAATAACTCCAAATTTGGTTTGGTTTTGAGATGTTACAAAACATGGAAGTCGAAGGTCACAGTCTCTATTTTTATTACAAGCTAGTGACTGACTGACAGCTGGCTTATATCTGTTTCTATTGGTGGGTTTGCTTTGTAGGAGTGTTCGACACAGCGTCTAATACCACGTCAAACCCATACAGAAGTCAGTCAAGAACAGATTTTGCGGCACTCCTTAAATTCTTCGATAGCTCACCGCTTTCATCAAGACTCCAAACCTTCTATTTGAGGTAAGGCATACAGCTGACTTTATTTTACATTCCGAAGACATCATTTCAATGTTAACATGAGAAAAGGGCATTCTTTAGTTTCCATTGTGTTTGCTTTCAACCAATGTCGTAAAATGTTAAGAAAATTTAGTTTTCTCACCATCGCGTTAATGGCAAACTATGCACTAACAGGAAACAGTGGAAGTCAAAGATAGTGATCATGGAGTTRAAAAAACAGCGAAATCTTTAGTTGTTTTACGTTTACATTGAAATCTTTATTATTTTACTTGTTACAGAAAATTAARATGGCTACTGCTGGATGGTCAACAACTACAAAAGAAAACACCAACTTTGCTCGATTGTGTAARYTACTCATCGATGGAGGAACTCATGTCCTTAGAAAGATCTTTGATGCCAAACATCCACCTCACGATCTAAAGAAGCATCTGATGGATCGCAGAAATCATCGTACTTTGAAGAATTTGAAGGCTACAAACATACTAAGACGAGATCAGTGGAGCAAACTTTAYCCAAGTGTAGATGCTCCAACATCTGSAAGTTTTGATATTACTCTCTTAAGTYTACTGTTGCGCAATATCTGCAACTTGCCAACTCCTGCCAATGGATGGATTAACGAGCCTGCAGCGACAAGTATTAGTCAAGAGGATGATATTGTAAGGGTGAAATTGTACCGTAACAAACTGGGCCACATTTCTGAACCAGCGCTATCAGACGCTGATTTCAACAAGCACTGGAACGACATTGAAACTGTTTTGCTAAGACTTGGAGCAGACATGACAGCCATTGATAGTCTGAGAACGCAATCAATGGAACCTGAAGATGAAGAATACTACAGCGACTGCTTGAAAGAATGGGCCGAGAACGAGGAAAGACTATTGCAGGCAATCCATGGACTAGAGGAAAAAATGGAAAACCTTCTAAAGACATCACCCAATAGGCCTGTAAGACCAACATCTGAAGGTAAATTTTAATGT